GAAGATTATTTTTGCAGCATGTGCGGGAGATATTGTCGAAAGTTCATAGTGGCGGGAGCTTAATGAATGTTTCATTTTCACATAAGTTTTACCGTCTGGCAGGGAGGCGTCCTCTCCTCTTTGCTCTTCAAGAATACTGTATCTTTCATTGGACCAGTTGCCTTTTTGTATCTTTCCGTTTTTCCGATGTACGTGAATGATCACCACCACCTTGGAGGGAAACAGCATTCAGAACTACACGCCGCCCTTACCGTCTAATTGTAGATAATATTTTATTTTTAAAAATAAAATAAGATGTATTTGACGTATGATATTGAAATGGCAGACAATGGCATATCACTGACTCAGTGGAGCAAGAGTGCAACACACAGTGCCTATACGGAAAGTGTAAAGGAAACGGATATCAGTATAATTGCAAGTTTTCCTTTCCTGTTTGTATTAGTTCCAGTGTCAAAGCGGATACCAGTCATTGCATTTCTTTGGTGAATGCCGGTTGTTCCCGTAACGCTACTCAACATGACGGTCTCCGGGTGCAGAATAGTGATGAAATAAACTGGTTGCCTATATTTAACTGTAAAGGAAAGTCTGTAACCCCTTAGATATTGTACTCCCGTACACTCCCACGGTCGTAGTACTGGTAGCACCATTTTTCCAGAGCTTATGGTGAGGCATTAATCTCTGTTACAGTGTACTCACCAGTAAATGTCATGTATATATTGAGGGTAATGTCTGTTGGCTGGGTGGCAATTACGGTCTGTAGTCGCTTGCTTCGTTCTCGCGACATGGAGTTCACCTATCTAACTCTAGACGATGACAGACTAGTTGCTCAACGGACTTTTAAGCCTCTTTCTTACCTCCTTAATCTTTTTAATTATCATCGAATTGTGAAGGTCAGTGACAGGGTTAATTTAAAGTGGGTGCCGACTTTCCGTAGATCAGCTCTGTGAAATAGACAAGACAAGTCATTTTTCCTGATGTGACAAACGGTTACTCCTACAGCCGTAACGGGATGACGGTCTACGAAGATAAATGGCGCACGCGCGCACACACACACACACACACAAATTTCAGCGTCCATCCTACTGTGTCTGTTTTGTCATCGTTGTTTAAGGCTAAGCAAAACTTAAACATTGCAACACTAGCACTGTTCCGATCAGTGGTAAATTAATGAATTTGTTGCTGTATAAAGAGAATTAATAATAAATTCGATTTCCAGCGCGTTATAATGTCTGCTTGACTCAAATGGAATCATGGCGCCTATTTTTTTCATGTTTTGTCTTGTACAACAGTGCACACAGACTGTAAAATTTTCCCGTATATTTGAATGCCTGGTCATTGCATTCCCACTTATTACGGTATGCAGAAATGCTCTTCTCGCTTCACTTCTTTCTAGCAATGTAATGTTTTTCCTCGTGGTATAGGGCTGATGACCATGCTTGCATTACAGAGCAGTGAAGATGATGAACTTTTGACTTGACTGAACTGAAATATCATATTTCTGTTGGCAGTTCGTTGTTATGAGAACTATCATATACTCGTTGCAATCACTGTCAGGTATGATATTGCCATGTTTTTGTTGCCTTCCGGCGCTTACCTGTTTATCAGCGATACTTTTTGAAGTTATTTTTTGTGGTGCGACAGACGGGAAGAAAATAGTTTTGCTCTGCGTTTTTAGGCGTGAAGCCGGAATACGTGATTGGTCGCATTTTCGTCGAAGATCTCGATGATTGGGACGCGTCAGACAAAACTTACGAATGGATCGGCAGTCCTAGTGACTATTTCTCTCTCGAGAAAGACGGCTTAATTCGTATGAGCGCATCGACTCCTGCGGGAAGCTACGTCGTGAAGGTAATTTTATGTAACTTTCGCTTGGTTTAGTTTAATAACTGAACGTAATTGTCATAAATGTTATTGTCACTGAAACAAAAGGAAACTAAATGTAAGTATTAAGTTGCTCAAGAAGTTTATTGATTCTATGGTGAAAGGACCGAAATTAATTAGATGTTTTGACGAGACCGATATTTCTTGAAGATGGAATGTGAAAGAGGCTGATACGTCATTGTTAAGTTCATTATCCCGATTAGCCTTTTCTTGACGTTGTGTTAAATCTGTTCAGTTCAGAGTTTACGGGGACAAGCGAAAAAGACGGTCAACAAAGGAAAACGCTTGTAACTGTTAGGTTACCAGCCTTCCCTACATTTTGATGAAGGGCCCCATTTGTGACGATGTTCTTTCATGGAGCTCACTGCGCGGCACTATTTTAGGCTACGGAGCAATCAGCCATGAATGCCTTATCGTTTTTGAGAGTTATGTTTACAGCATGTCGCAGATACGACGTGTGGTCTCCTTCCTTTCCACGCAGAAAGGCGACTGATTCGGTCGTGACTTGAACTCGCGATCTTTGGTGGACGCCCAGCGCTCTGTTGGTTGAGCTTCTTCGGTCAAAATTCTAAGGGTAGCACATCTGGCTGACCCAGAAATCCCGGCGAAGTTGAAGTAGATAGTTGTAGTGGGTGTGATCAGAAATGCGGCTGGATATCGTCAAATACGCATATGATGAAAGGAGTTTAATTAGTCGTAATTTTCTTATCTGCCCCGATTGATGAAAGTAGACTTGTTGGAGCAGATTATATCATAGATCTGAAGAAGATTTGCTCATTAAAGCCGTTCTGTTTTGTATTGTCACTCCCTTGAAAACGAAGTAACTACATTTTCTACGGTCGTGGTATTCGAAGCATTGATTAAGGCGCCATGCTAGTAATTTAGCGTTATGAGTCACGGAGATTTATATGTTGTACTACCGCTGTGGCTGCACTCAGCTGCAAGCCACTTGCTACCAGTGTTCCACGGGTTGTGTCCCGTTCCTGTCTCGCTTAACGGTATACGTGCCTCTACAGTTTTATCTTACTTTGTATCCCTGTCCTTAGAAAGTGTGCATATTTTTAGGCGAACGTTAAAGATACGGTAAATAATCAACATGCGGTTGGAAGCGTCGACATCACTGTAGAACTTCTGCCCGACGAAGCTATAAGGAATGCGGCTTCGTTTGTGCTAAGAGGTATGTTGTTGGTAGCGATCGCCTGCAGATCCAGTCAGTTTTTGCTTTATGTTTTCGGTTGTTTTATTATATGTCATATTTCGTTCTGACAAATCAGTTCGAGGAGAATTTGACGTGCGGTGGCCGTAGTCAAGCAGCCACAGTCGACGCTATATAATTCTGTTAGAGCCAGTGCGTTTTATGGATAACTTTGGCGTCGATTATTTATTTAGCGTCGCTCTGTCTCCAAACATTGTTAACTTGTTCCGAATAGCCTTTTTGGAATTTTAAATTTTGCCAGGTGGAAAATTCATTCGCTACTTGTTGCAACACTTTTGTAACGTTGATAAAAATTTCCGAACTAAGAATTCATAAAGAGGTC